GGCTGGGATCGCTTGGAACAGGCTGGGATCCCTTGGAATGGGCTGGGATCCCTTGGAATGGGCTGGGATCCCTTGGAACGGGCTGGGATCCCTTGGAATGGGCTGGGATCCCCTGGAATGGGCTGGGATCCCTTGGAATGGGCTGGGATCCCTTGGAATGGGCTGGGATCCCTTGGAACGGGCTGGGATTCCTTAGGATGGGCTGGGATCCCTTGGAATGGGCTGGGATCCCCTGGAATGGGCTGGGATCCCCTGGAATGGGCTGGGATCCCCTGGAACGGGCTGGGATCCCTTGGAACGGGCTGGGATCCCTTGGAACAGGCTGGAATTCCCGGTTCTCACCTCCTCGTTGAGGCTCAGGGCCTGGAACAGGGAGTCGATGTCCTCGAACTCGGCGTAGCCGAAGCCTTTCAAGCGCTCGGGGTTGGTCGGTTCCCGGGGCAGCCGCACCGCGCTGATCTGGGAACGGGAACCACGGGAATGGGAATGCTGGGACACGGCTGGGAATGCCGGGACACAGCTGGGAATGCTCCCCAGGGGATGGGAATGCCGGGACACGGAATGGGAATGACACCCAGGGGCTGGGAATGCTCCCCAGGGGCTGGGAATGGTGAACCCAGAGCTGGGAATTCTGCTCCAGAGGCTGGGAATGCTGAGCCAGGGAGCAGGGAATGACACTCCAGGGGCTGGGAATGCTGAGACACAGCTGGGAATGCCAATCCAGGGGCTGGGAATGGTGAACCCAGAGCTGGGAATTCTGCTCCAGAGGCTGGGAATGCTGAGCCAGGGAGCAGGGAATGACACTCCAGGGGCTGGGAATGCTGAGACACAGCTGGGAATGTTCCCCAGGGAATGGGAATGCTGAGACAGGGGCTGGGAATGCCACCTCAGAGAGCAGGGAATGCCACCCCAGGGACTGGGAATGCCACTCCAGGGAGCAGGGAATGCCAATCCAGGGGACTGGGAATGCCACTCCAGGGAGCAGGGAATGCCAATCCAGGGGACTGGGAATGCCACTCCAGGGAGCAGGGAATGCTGAGCCCAGAGCCAGGAATGCCAGCCTGGGAGGTGGGAATTCAACTCCGGGAGTTGGGAATGCTGAGCCTACAGCTGGGAATTCTGCTCCAGGAGCCGGGAACGGTGCTGGGATTCACTTGGAACGTGATTCGCCGGGATGGGAATCCGTGATTCCCTCGGGATCAGCCCCCAGCCCCCCCAGATCCGTGACGGCGGATCCAGGACCAAATCCCGCTTTCATTCCCGGCCCCCGGAGCGCGACTCACGTTGAGGCCCCGGAAGAAATCCTTGATGGAGTCCTCGGTGACGTCGTAGGGGAGGTTCCCCAGGAAGGCCGTGTACGGGGGGGACTTGGGCAGGCGGCTCCTGTCGATGTTGGGCTCGCGGGCGGCGCGCGGCGCCGTGGGCAGCAGCGAGCGGTCGATCGGCGGCGCCCGGTACACGTCGTCGTCGTTGCTGTGCCACGTGGTGGAGGCTGCGGGGGATGGAGGGACACGGCAT